TTTTCCTTAGTCACTGACCTCTCTGACTTGGAACATTCTTGCCTTTTATTTCATACAGCAGAGCTCAGGGCCCAAGCCCGTCTCTTTTGCACAATGCCTTCCCTGAGGCACCAAGGCAGAAGCCTCTCTCAGCCCTCCTCTGCGTTTCCTGCACACTTGTTCACAGCTCCATTGTGAACACCTGTCATAGCGTACAATATTGTCTGCCTCCCTGACCAGACTGGGTACTTTTGCAATCAACACCAAGGACAGTAGTTATTGGTCTTTCTCCCACCCCAGCACACAGTAGCTCATTCCTTTAGTAACAGGGGTTCACTGTGGGCAGTGAGTGAAGTAACCCCTCCCAGGGGATGATCTCCAGCTAAGAATCATGGTTGCTACTGAGGTGCCACATGCTTAAAAAATTGTTTGAAATGCATGTTCTGTTGAAGGTATCATAATTTGGGCATGTTTCCATGAGGTTGTATGTGTTATGAGATCTCTAGTTGCCACACCTAATTAAAATAAAGAGAAATAAAATAAACTTATTTTCACTAATAAAATTAAGATGCAGGAATCAAGAGTCTGACTTTGTACTAAGCAGTAAAAACTACACCAAACAATATATAGCAAGAAACTGAAACAAAGTGAATGGGAACATTTAAAGACCTAGTGATATATATAAATACATATGCAAGCAAAGTAAAAAAACAAGCAAATCAAGAAAATCAATCATAATAATCTTCGTAATATATGAATTCCTAAAAATCAAAAGAACCAAAAACTTATGGAAAAATGAGTAAAGAATATGGATAGAAATGATTCGAAACACAGAGAAAGATAACAATAAGAAAAAAAAGCAAAGTAAAATTACCAAGATGCTATCCCCCCACCCCCGAACTGAAAGCATAAAGCTCCCACTATGGGTAAAGTTATGGGAAAACAGACACTTACAGACTGTCAGTAGGAATGAAAAGTTTGATATTTTGCCAGGAGGAATTAAAGTCCTGTGGGAGTCAATTTGGTGGTATCAATCAAAACTACAACTGCACAGGGCTTTTGCTTAACTATCCCACTTCAGGGAATGTATCCCACAAATATACTTGCACAGACACAGGATATCATAGGAGAAATACTGTTCATTAACATAACTGGTAATAGCAAAAGTTTGGAAACAATATTAAATGTCCATTAAAAAGAAGTACTGATGGGGGGAATGGTGAGGGGAAAATGCAGACAACTGTAATGGAATAAAAATAAAATTAAAAAAAAAAAACAGAAATGTTGACATGGGGCTAGAGTACTATAAAGATTTATTATTTTTTAATTTATTTTTTTAGGTTACCAATTTTATTTATTTTTTAATTTTTATTTTATTGATTATGCCATTACAGTTGTTCTATTCCCTTCATTCCCCTCCACCCTTCCCCCTCGCCCCAACGATTCCCCCCTTTAGTTTATGACCATGTGTCTCAAGTCCTTTAGATTCTATATTTCCCATACTATTCTTGCCCCCCATCTATTTTCTATCTACTGTCTATGCTACTTATTTTCTGTACCTCCTTCCCCCTTCTCCTCCTCCCACTCCCCTGTTGCTAACCCTCCATGAGATCTTCATTTCTATGTTTCCGCTCCTGATCTAGCTGTCCTTTTAGTTTGCTTTTGTTTTAGGTGTGGTTGTTAATAACTGGGAGTTTGCTGTCCTTTCACTGTTCATGTTTCTTTAACTTCTTTTTCTTCGATAAGTTCCTTTAACATTTCATATGATAAGGGCTTGGTGATGATGAACTCCTTGAATTTGATCTTTTCTGAGAAGCACTTTATCTGCCCTTCCATTCTAAATGAAAGCTTTGCTGGATACAGCAATCTTGGATGTAGGTCTTTGGATTTCATCACTTGGAAGACCTCTTTCCAGCCCCTTCTGGCCTGTAAGGTCTCTTTTGAGAAATCAGCTAACAGTCTGATGGGAACTCCTTTGTAGGTGACTGTCCCCTTATCTCTTGCTGCTTCTAGGATTCTCTCCTTCATTTTAATCTTAGCTAATGTAATGATGATGTGCCTTGGTGTATTCTTTCTTGGGTCCAAATTCTTTTGGACTCTGAGCTTCCTGGATTTCCTGGAAGTCTATTTCCTTTGCCAGATTGGGGAAATTCTCCTTTATTATTTGTTCAAATAAGTTTTCCACTTGTGGCTGTTCCTTTCCCCCTTCTGGTACCCCTATAATTCGGATATTGGAGTGTTTAAAGATGTCCTGGAGGTTCCTAAGTCTCTCATTTTTTTGAATTCTTGTTTCTTCATATTTTCCTGTTTGGTCATTTTTTCCTTCCTTCTGGTTCACTCCCTTGATTTGAGTCCCAGTTTTCTTTCCATCACTATTGGTTTCCTCTGCAATTCCCTTCATTTCAATTAGTTTAGCCTTCATATGTTCCTTTAATTTGTGACTAAAATCAACCAGTTCTGTGAACATCCTGATCACCAGTGTTTTGAACTGTGCATTAGAAAGTTTTGCTATTTCTTCATCACTTAGAGTTATAGGCTCTGGGGCTTTGAGATCTTCTTGAGCCATTTTTGGTCTGTTTGCGCCCATTAAGTATGAGGAGCAGAGCCTTAGGTGTTCACCGGGGCTGGGTGACCTAGTAGCTGGGCTGTGATGCTGTATGTGGGGGCAGGGTCAGACCAGGGCAATAGGGGTCCCCTCTGCTGCTTCCCGCTGCTGTGGCTTGCTTGGTCTGTCTCACTGCTAACTTTTCCGCTGGTCTATCTGCGCGAGAATGTGTGACCACGGTCAGCCTGCCGCCCTGCACCCTCACTGGGTCCACCCGTTGCAACCCCACACCTGGGATCTGCGTGCCTGAGTCCGTCTGACTGACTTTTCCTGCACAACCCCGCTCTACCAGCTGCTGGTTTCGCCCCTTTTACAGGTCCAGCTGAAGAATTCGTTGTTATCAGACTTCTGAAAAGTTCAATTTTCTGTGTTTTGGCTGTGTTTTCTGTTGCTAAAATTTTGTTGTCTTTAAACTCGGTTGTGTGATAAGGCACAGCGTCTCCACCTATGCCTCCATCTTGGCGGAAGTCTCCAAGATTTTTTTAAATAAAATTCTCAATGTAGTAAAAATATACAGTACTCCTAGATATAGTGTAGAGTTAAAAAAGCAAGAATGTCGCCGGCCTGAGAACCAGATAATCAAGGTTCGATTCCCAGTCAGGGCACATGCCTGGGTTGCAGACCAGTTCCCTGCAGGCCAGTTCCCAGCAAGGGACGCACAAAAGGCAACCATACATTGATGTTTCTCTCCCTCTCTCCTTCCCTTCCCCTCTAAAGATAAATAAAATATTTTTAGAAAAAAGCAAGAATGTGGCTAGAATGCATCATTTTGTGTACAAAAAAGGAAAGAAACATGTAATCACTGTATATGCTTATATATGCATAAAGAAACTGAGCACGCGCAGGGAACTAACAACAGTGGTTACCTCAGTAGATTAGGGACGGTAAGAGCAGACACACATTTAAAAAAAAAATCCTTATCCAAGGATATGTTTACTGATTTTAAGAGAAACACCAATGTGAGACAGAAATGATCAATACACGCCCTGACTAGGGACTGAAACTGCAACCTAGGAATCGTGTCCTGACATGGAAAGGAATCAAACCCTTTGACGTATGGGACAATGTTCCAACCAACTGACCCACCAGCCAGGGCACATACAATATGTGTGCATTTTTTTAAAAGATTTTTAATGATTTTTTTATGTTTATCTTTAGAGGGAAAGGGAAGGAGAGAGGGAGAGAAGCATCAATGCGTGGTTGCCTCTCATGTGTCCCCTCTGGGAACTGGCCTGCAACCCAGGCATGTGCCCTGACCGGGAATTGAACTGCGATCCTTTGGTTTGCAGGCCCGCGCTCAATCCACTGAGCCACACCAGCCAGGGCCAATATGTGTGCATTTTTATATTGAGATTTAGTAATATATCACCTATTTAAAATTTAAGCTAAAAAAAAAAAAAAAAAAAGAGCCCTAGGTTTCGTGGGTTGGGTGTGCTCCTGCAGACAGAAAGGTCGCAGGTTCAGTTTCTGGTGGGCACATGTCTGGGTTGTGGGTTCTGTCCCTGGTCAGTTCAGTCCCCAGTCAGGACACATACAAAAAACAACCAATCAATGTTTCTTTCTCTTTTTTAAAAAACATTTTCTTTCTTTATTTTTTGAGAGAGGGGAAGGGAAGGAGAGAAGGAGAGAAATATCAATATATGGTTGCCTCTCATGCATCCCCTGTTGGGAACTGGCCTGCAACCCAGGCATGTGCCCTGACTGGGAATTGAACCTCGATACTCTGGTTCGCAGGCCCGTGCTCAATCCATTGAGCTACACTAGCCAGGGCTCAGTATTTCTCTCTTACATCAATGTTTCTCTCCCTCTCTTTTCCTCTTCCTCCCCTTCTCTCTACAATCAGTAAACATGTCTTCAGACGAGGAATTAAAAAAAAAGAAGAAACATTTTGCAGAGTTTTTAATATACAACAAAACCCTCAATATCAATGAATATGTACTACAAAGGAAACATTATAAATATTCTATGATTTCAGTTATATATATATATTTTTTTTAATTAATTTATTTATCTTTAGAGGGGAAGGGAAGGAGAAAGGGAGAGAATCAATGTATGGTTGCCCTTTGCGCATCCCCTGCTGGGAACAGGCCTGCAGGGAACCAGCCTGCAACCCAGGCATGTGCCCTGACTGGGAATCGAATCGCGATTGCCTGGTTCGCAGGCCCGAGCTCAATCACTGAGCTACACCAGCCAGGGCTGATTTCAGTTATATTTTTAAAAAATACACAATACCTACCTACCTGCACGCATCCAAATGTATAAAAAAATAAGTGAACATAAATACACTAAACCTTATCCTCTCAGTTTGGGGAAAACGGTGGATTCTGGTTTTCTTGTTTTACTTTCCTGTGTTTTCCAAACTAACATATTTTACTTTGATAAGCAAGAGAAACAATGGAAGAAAATGCACCTTTACCTCAAAATCTGCTCCTGACAAGCAGCAATTCTCTTCATGAATTTGTAAAATACCTTATCTCCACTTCTAGTTATGGTCTTCTCATATTTTTCATTACCATCACTAGAAAGACTAAAAAGAGAAGCAGAAAATACTTTTCAGTGCCTATATCCAAAGAATTACAGTATGTACAAAAAGGCAAGATAATTAAAAAAAAATTTAAACCAAAGTTAGCATATGCACACAATTTAAAGATCACAAATTTAATATATAACAGTAATCCCCTACACATCCTTTCCCAAGTCCTACTCTCTAGCCATTTTCAACTCTGGGATAATTACTTACTATTTAAAAAATTATTATAGGTCCTGGCCAGGTAGTTCAGTTGGTTAAAGCACTGTCCCAATATACCAAGACTGAGGATTTGATCCCTGGTCAGGGCACATACAAAAATTAACCAATGGCCCTGGACCAGTGTAGCTCAGTTGGTTGGGCGTCATCACACAAAAGTGGCCGGTTTGATTCCTGGTCAGGGCACATGCCTGGGTGGCAGATTCCATCCCTGGTCAGAGTGCATATGAGAGGCAACTGACTGATATCTCTCTCTTACATCAATGTTCCTCTCCCTCTCTTTCTCCTTCTCCCACCCCTTCCCTCTCTCTCAAAAATAAATAAGTAAATAAATACTTAAAAAACAAAATCAACCAATGCATGAGTAAACAGAATAACAAATCAATGTTTCTCTCTCTTCCTCTCTCTAAAAATCAAAATAAAATAAAAAATAAAAAGTCATTATACCCATTGATTCTCCATTTCTTTCTCCATTTATGCATTATTTTCAAACACCAACATATCTTTTTTTTTTCCAGTATAGAGCTTTATTGGGGTTTGCATCAAACACCAACATATCTTGATGGAACCAAATATTATTCTGAAAAAGCTTATGACTGAAAGAGCTCTGATAGAGAATCAAGTCATCTCTCCAAACATCCCATTGTAATTTTATTATAATAGCAAAAATTATAATTCTTATGCTTAGAGGGCTTTGGTTTATATAATCTTTCAGGACCTACTCTCTCACTTGACTCCCAAAACCATCTGATGAGACAGGCAATTGATATCAATATCACTCCCACTTCACGGATCAGAACTGAGGCTCTAGAAGGATCTCTCAGGTCCTAGGCCAGTTTTTTTAATCATGGCCAACAGTCAATGAACAAATGGCACTTTTCTAACTTATCTGCTCCAGTTATACACTTAGAAACAGAAAACGAAGTTAAGAGAGCTAGTGAACACTTCTTCTGTAAGTAGTTGGCATCACTACCTTGTTTGTTCATTGTCTTGAGGGTGCTTCTAAATAAAACAAAATGTTTTCAAGCTAACTCAAAGGTGGCTAAGATCCCCTGGTCTCTGCCTCCCTTTCTTGCCCAAGAGGACTAAAACACAAAAGTCCTACACACACAGTTCTGCCTAAAAAAGTTTTCCTAGGAACTAGGGTAAAATCAAAGGATACCTATCTAGTGTGGCAGCTTTCTGATCAAGTCACTTCTTCACCTCAGCTGCACATATTCTCACCTTTGGGAAAGCAACTGTTCCATATCAACTCCTTCTCGCTGTTGATACTCCCTGAGAAGACTATGAGCATGATCTAGACTGACAACACCACTGTAATCATCCTCATCTACGACACTGATGTAGTAGGACAGGAAATGTGGCACCACAGAAGGCACCCCAGGAAGCACAGGAACAGCAGCACCTGGTACAGTATCCTGAAAGTGTAGGTCCTGGAGCTGGGCGATCCAGTCTATGTCTTTGGCACTGTTAGAATCGTTTCCAAAATCCAAGGTAAGCTGCGGTGAAGGCCTCTCCTCATTATCACTTCCCCAGTCATCTGCACCTTCACACCAATACTCAGCTGCAAGGCCATTTTCCTGTTTCTGGAAAAATATCCAGTGAATGAGGTCCAAGCACACTTAGGTAATCTCACCTACTCCCTTGGCTTTAGCCACTCATCCCTTCACCCCACTGAGGGAGACTTCACACCAGCCATTTTCCCTCTGGCACACTCCGATTCACTTCCTGGGCCCCATTTACTCAAAAGCACATTGGAGGTATCAAATAGTGTTTCCTTTTTAGGGGCACTACAGCAGACATAGTACAGTGTCTTCAACCACCCATTCCGAACTGAGTTGTGCATCATGTAATGGAGAATCTGGCAGGAAAGAACTACATTTTCCTGACTCCTTGGCAGCAAGTGATCCAGATATAATCGGGGTTCTGCTAATCATGTCCACTAGCGGGAGAGACCAACTTGTGAGGCTACGAAGCAACAGTCTATAGATGGAGACACAGCAAGGCTCTGGGGTCAACAGTTCTGACAAGGGCAGCTTTCAGTTCACCTCTGCTTCCTGACTGCAGCAGAGGTGGAACACCAGCTCCCTGGCAGGCCAGTTCTGAGGTGTGGTTCTGGAGGTCATTCCTGGAGTTGCCTTCTCCAGGTTGTCCAAATAAGTTGGCAAAAACCTAATTTTAAGTGTCTCACCGGGAGTAAGTCAAAGTGCTTTTCTATTACCTTCAATTGCACCCTGACAAATATAGGCAGACACCACACTCATCTTTTTATTCACAGTACTGCTAGTACTATGCTTGGCACATGTAAGAACTCAGCATATACATAAAGCGATATTTACAGGCAAAGGGAGGCTAAATTTTGTTCTGAAGCTACCAATTTGCCTAACTTTTGGATTATTAAATTCAGATTACATTTTACTAAATGTGTACTATATGTGTACAGAAACACATACCACAGTAAGAATATTTACTATAAACAGGGACTTCCGCCAAGATGGAGGCATAGGTGGAGACACTGTGCTTTCTCACACAACCAAGTTTAGAAACAACAAAATATTAGCAACAGAAAACATAGCCAGAACACAGAAAATTGAACTTTTCAGAAGTCTGATAACAACGATTGCTTCAGCCTGACTGGTAAGAGGGGCGAAACCAGCAGCTGGTGGAGTGGGGTTGCACAGGAAAACTCTGTCAGATGGACTCAGGCACGCAGATCCCAGGCATGGGGTTGCAAAGGGCAAACCCAGTGAGCGACCTAGTGAGCGACCACAGGGCGGCAGGTTGACTGTGGTGGTACATTCCTGCGCCGATAGACTGGCGAGGGAGTAGGCAGTGAGACAGGACTGAGCAGGCCCCGGTGAGGAGAGGCAGCAGAGAGGGCCGCCATTTCCCCGCTCTGACCCCACCCCAACATACAGCATCATAACCCAGCAACCCCGCCCTGGTGGCCCTGCCCCGCCCCTAAGACTCTGCTCCTCATACCTGGCGCAAACAGACCAAAGATAGCTCAAGAAGATCTCAAAGCCCCAGAACCCATTAAGCAATGAAGAAATAGCAAAACTTCCCGATGCACAGTTCAAAACACTGGTGATCAGGATCCTCACAGAACTGGTTGATTTTAGTCACAAATTAAAGGAACATATGAAGGCTAAACTAATTGAAATGAAGGGAATTGCAGAGGAAACCAATAGTGATGGAAAGAAAACTGGGACTCAAATCAAGGGAGTGAACCAGAAGGAAGGAAAAAATGACCAAACAGGAAAATATGAAGAAACAAGAATTCAAAAAAATGAGAGACTTAGGAACCTCCAGGACATCTTTAAACACTCCAATATCCGAATTATAGGGGTACCAGAAGGGGGAAAGGAACAGCCACAAGTGGAAAACTTATTTGAACAAATAATAAAGGAGAATTTCCCCAATCTGGCAAAGGAAATAGACTTCCAGGAAATCCAGGAAGCTCAGAGAGTCCCAAAGAAGTTGGACCCAAAAAGGAACACACCAAGGCACATCATCATTACATTAGCTAAGATTAAAATGAAGGAGAGAATCCTAGAAGCAGCAAGAGATAAGGGGACAGTCACCTACAAAGGAGTTCCCATCAGACTGTCAGCTGATTTCTCAAAAGAGACCTTACAGGCCAGAAGGGGCTGGAAAGAGGTCTTCCAAGTGATGAAATCCAAAGACCTACATCCAAGATTGCTGTATCCAGCAAAGCTTTCATTTAGAATGGAAGGGCAGATAAAGTGCTTCTCAGAAAAGATCAAATTCAAGGAGTTCATCATCACCAAGCCCTTATCATATGAAATGTTCAAGAGACTTATCTAAGAAAAAGAAGATAAAAAAGATGAACAGTGAAAGTTCAGCAAACTCACAGTTATTAACAACCACATCTAAAACAAAAGCAAACTAAGAGGACAGCTAGATCAGGAGAAGAACCATAGAAATGAAGATCTCAAGGAGGGTTAGCAACAGGGGAGTGGGAGGAGAAGGGGGAAGGTACAGAAAATAAGTAGCATAGACGGTAGGTAGAAAATAGACAGGGGGAGGGCAAGAATAGTATGGGAAATATAGAATCTAAAGAACTTGAGACACATGGTCATAAACTAAAGGGGGGGTAATGGTGGGGACGGGGGTAGGGTGGAGGGGAATGAAGGGGGGAATAGAAACTGTAATGGCATAATCAATAAAAAAAAACATAAAAAAAAGAAAAACAAATAGGTAATTACAGAATAGCCATAGGGATATAAAGTACAGTATAAGAAATGGAGTAGTCAAAGAGCTTATATACATGACCCATGGACATGAACAGTGGTGTGGGGATTGCCTGATGGAATGGGGGGTGCTGGATGGAGGTGGGCAAAGGGGGAATATTGGGAAAACTATTATAGCATAATCAATGAAATGTAATTCTTAAAAAATCAAAAAAAAAAAAAACAAACAACCTGAGACACATGGTCATAAACTAAAGGGGGGAATGGTGGGCGTGGGGGGTGCAGGGCGGAGGGGAATGAAGGGGGGAATAGAACAACTGTAATGGCATAATCAATAAAATAAAAATTAAAAAAAGAATATTTACTATAAACACATGTACGTATTGTACACAACCGTGTGTATGTACATACTCATACTTTTTCCCCAAATAGAAAAATCAATAAGCTATGGGTCTCAAGACCGTCGGTGCATATTAAAAGAAACTAACGAAACCTTAAACAAACAACATTTTATGGTTCAGAAAAGAGCAAAAATCACTCCAAAATATTTCAAAGAACACAGCTTAAACTACTTCTTAAATGATATTCTGACAAATACCCTCAAATCACAGCAAATGCTAACATCAACCGCTTTACCTGAGTGTCCGGCGCTTCTTTCTCTGATATGTGCAGGGACTGGGAGCGGAACACCTTCCAGCTGAAAGGTAAACATAACTGCTGAGCGGGCTCAACGCGGACTTGCCTGCCTGCCCGCCCGCCCGCCCCCCCCCCCTCCCCTGGTGCGCCCGGTACCGCCCCTAACTCTTGCCCACTCCGCAAAAACGCCCCGAGGGAGCTCTGCATCCCGCCCACCTACCTGCGTGCCCCGCCGCTGCCACACAGAGGGCTGGGGCAAGCGAACACGTGCAGGAGCCGATGAAACGGGGAGCTTTCCAGCGGGCAGTACACTTGCACGACCAAGGCGAGAGGCTGCCTGCAATGTTCACACGCTGGCCTAGGCGCAGCTACTGCGGGCAAGGCGTCCTAAGGGAAGGGAAGGGGCTCAGACCTGACTGTGCCGCGGAACGGAGCCCACTCTTTCACCTCGCAGCCCTCACTAGCACCGCCGACCCCGATTCCGAGACCCCACCTCACCGGAAGGCCGCCAAGCTTGCTAGCAGTCCAGGCGCCCGACCCACCAGGGCAGCCGTGCACCGCTACGTCTCGAAGGCCAAGCAGCACGGGTTTCCGCTGGGCCGCCATGACGACACGGCGCCCACGTGAAAAGACGAACTACGGGAGCCGAGTTGGTACCCCCCTCTGCGCAAGCGCACTTCCTACTCCCGCGAGCCCGGCCTGCCCCTTGAGATCCTTTCCCAGAATTAAAATAAAGGTTCTAACCTCAGGAAGCTTGCCGGGGGCGGGGGAGGGGGGGCGGGAATCCATTCCTAGGGTGGCGTGCTGAAGCCATATAGGCAACTTCCGCTGTTCTGGCCTCAAAATCCGGGATCCCAGGCTTTCATGTGCCTCCTGAAGCACCGCAATAGGAGTACGCACAGTCTACTATGAAGTGGTATCGCTGCAGTTTTACCTGAAATAAGCGGGAAGATAGCATTATTGTTAATAAGGGGGAAAAAGTCCTTAACTTTTAGAGATTACACATCAAAATGCTTATAGATGAAATATCTAGGACTTGCCAAAACATGTTGGAGGGGTAGATAAAATAAGGCCTTGAGTTAATAATTACTGAGATTTGGTGTCAGGCACATGGAGGTTTTTTATACTGTTTGTGGTATGTTTTGAGATTTCCCATAATAAAGTTTTTCAAATGCCAGTGTCACAACATAGGTGAACTTAAAAAAACATGCTAAATTCAAGAAGCCAGACACAAAAGGCCATATTGTAGAAACAGAGTAACCTTTAAAAGATGAAGAAATCAGTCTTGGCTCATGTAGCTTAGTGGATTGAGCACAGGCTTCCCAGTCAGGGCACATGCCTGGGTTGCAGGCCAGTTTCCAGCAGGGTATGCATGAGAGTACAACTGTACGTTGATATTTCTCTCCTTCTCTTCTTTCCCTCTTAAGATAGATAAATTATAAGTATTTTTTAAAAAAGGATGAAGAAATCAGATCAAGGGGTTTTGGAGGTAGGGACTGACCACAAAAGGGTGCCAGTAACTTTTGGGGGTGATAAAAATGCTAGGTATCTCAACTGTGGTGGTTACATGACTGCATACATTTGTCAAAAATTCAGAACTGTACACCAAAAGAACGTGAATTTTACTACATGTAAATTTTGTTTCAGTAAACCTGACTCAAAAAAGGCATGTTGCAAAAGCATTATTTCAGGCTTCACACCTAGTGAGCAAAATAAGAGTGTTTTCGAGGACACACTGCTACCAAACTCAAAAGGTTCACCATTTGGAGGGTTCTATTAAAAAATGAGTTGTGGAATTGAGCACGGGCCTGTGAAGCAAAGGGTCACCAGTTTGATTCCCAGTCAGGGCACACACCTGGGTTGCAGGCCAGGTTCCCAGTAGGGGACACATGAGATGCAACCACACATTGATGTTCCTCTCCCACTTTCTCCTTCCCTTCCCCTCTCTCTAAAAAATAAATAAATAAAATATTTCTTAAGAAATGAGATGTGGTTGTCACAAGACAGTTTTATTTACTTGTAGCAAGTAAAAGAGACAAGATTGTAGAGCCAAAGCTCTGACTCCTGGAAGGGGGACTTAGCCATTACTAATGTACACTATTTGATCAATTACACATTGATATCTTCTTTGCAGTTGGCTACTTTCATCAGGTTGAGTTCCTATCAGCTCATCGTGTGTACAGCTGCATTGCAAAATACTGTGCTACATGTTAACATTTAGCAAGAATACCATTTAGAACTGCAAAGACCTTGAGACACTTGTCCACTCTAATACCTCAAAAAATGTAGGTGACTCAATGTTTGGCTCCAGCCCCAGAGAGGATTTGGAGATGAAACTGTTGATGGGAGAGACATGGTTTTTCTTGCTGACACATGTAAAAAATTACAGATCAGCACATCCATTAGCATGTAACCAGTCTATTAGTGATCCTTTCCCATGGGAGAAAATGGGACTAGCTAGAGTGGGGGGTGAAAGGCATAGTTTCCAAGGCAAAGCAGGGTAGGAAAAGTAAGAGTGGCTGAACACCAGGGTGGTAAGCCCCCAGGATGGCCTGAGGCTGGTGGCCCAAGAGCCAAGAACACCAAGAGCACCGCAAGCCCCTGAGAGAGAGCAAATCTTTTGTTCTCAGGACTTACATAGTTGGTGGAATAGGAGAAAAAAGTTACTTATTGATTAAAGGGTAAATGTGATGCAAGCTTTCCCGGGTGCAGGGAGGTGACTACCCAAACTTAGGCATGTGTGGGGGTCTGTTAGCCCAAATCTTTATCTTGTTCCAGACTCCATTTGTTCACCTTGTAAAACAATTACGTAACAGGAGGCACTTAATTAAAGTTGAGACACTTTCCAAATTTATTTATGGGCTCTTTCTGTGAGCATTTGGGACTCCCTCATAAAACAGATAGTGACCAGAGGTAGACAATTAACCAAAATTTTCTTATGGGCTTCTTTGGGTATCAGGGATCCTCTCCCACATTCCAGGCCCTGGGATGAAAGCAGTTTCAAGGCTTTCTTTCCCAGATAGTGGAAATGTTACATAGAATTTCAAGGACCTCCCTTCTTCCTTGCTATTATAGTGTTTCTAGGGATGTTGGAACACCTGACAATATTATTGGACCAGGCTCAGGACTGAGTGGGTGTGTGAGACATGTCTCCTTCCTCCTCCCTGCCTTGATTTACTCTTCACTCCACCTAAGTGATAAAGGCATTTCCTGGCAACCAGGATGCTAGATGCCGGCCAATAAGAGCAGCACAGTCTCGGAATTCTTCCTGTGCTGTCTCCTGCCTCAAAACCAGTTTACTCCTGGTTTATTAATGCCAATCTGTTAGCTTTAAAAAGGGCAGTGAACCCTTGCTGGTGTGGCTCATTTGGAGTTTTGTCCTGCAACTAGAGGGTTCGGATTGTTTCCAGTCAGGGTACATGCCTAGCATGTAGGCGTGTGCAGGAAGTGAACAGTCGTTGTTTCTTTCTCTTTCCCTTCCTCTCTCTTCAAAAGCAATGAAAAAATGTCCACAGGTGAAAGTACAAAAAAAATTGTTTTAAAGGGCTATAAAATCTGACCTTGGTGTTCACTTCAGGTCTATCCAAAGAGCTGGATGATTTGACATGTTTCCCATGACATATATTTAGTTTTATTTTATTTTAAAGATTTTATTTATTCATTTTCAGAAAGGGGAAGAGGGAGATGTGCGACAGAGACAGAAACATCAATTGGCCCACAACCCAGGCATACGCCCCAACATGGAATCAAACCGGCAACCCTTCAGCTTGCAGGCCACACAGAGCCACACCAGCTAGGGCTCCCATAACATATTTGTAAATTATAGCAAGAAGAATCAAACTTGAAAATTCTTATTATTCTTGCTACCACAGTAATAACAGCCTCCAACTATTACTGATCACTTTCCAACATTGGTCACGTGTTTACATCATAACATTACCTATTACATGAGGGCAGCACAAAGGCCTGCTTTGTAAGATAAATTTTCAGGATGTTAATTGCTGCCACATTCTAGAATCCCAGAGGCAATTTAACATCGAAATCAACAATTACATCATTGCAGAGTCCTTGGAACAATGTAACAAAAAAGTGCTTACGCTTGTGACTTGAGGGATCCAACTTAATTCATGATTTTCTAGGGTTTGGATTACTTGACAAACTCACACAAATCAACAAATTACAACAGTTTATATGAGGAAATACAAAATTAAAGATGTCGAAAGCTGCTTTAATCTCACACTGAGGAGCTAGCTACCTGTTTGTGATGGTTAACTTTTCGTGTCTGTCAGCTGGGCTAAGGGATTCCCGGGTAGCTAGTAAAATATTTTTGGGATTGTCTGTGGTGTTTCCAGAAGAACATTTGAATCAGCAGGCTGAGGAAGGATGAGTGCCCTCCCCCGTATGGCTGGGCATCAAGAGCTGGAATAGAACAAAAAGGACGAAGGACAAATTCTCCTTGAGCTGGGACATCCACCTTCTGTTGCCCTTGGACCTCTGAGCTCCTGGTTCTCAGACCTTCACTCTGCGATTACCACCAGCGGCTCCCCCAATTCTTAAGCTTTCACTCAGACTGTGGTGCACCCTGGCTTCCCTGGTTCTTCTGCTTGCGGACAGGGTATCATGGGACTTTTCAGCCTCTATAATCACATGAGCCAATTCCCACAGTAAATCTCAAATTACTATACAGATATCACGTTGGTTCTGTTTCTCCGAAGAACTCAAATTCATACGTTGTACAGCAGAAACGACAGGCAGCCGTGGGACACTTAAGTGGAAGCCACGAGTGATGACAGTGAGACTGAGGAAGGGCAGGAGAGTAAGAAAGGGCAAAGTGACCTGTGGCCAGTTGTCATGTGCCACTTGCTCCTGCATAAGACATGAGAACTGGCAGCTGGCCTCCAGCAGTGGCCCCACTGCTAAGAGATCTTTGTGAAGCCAAGTTAACCGCAAGGTCTGCCACCTCAAACTTTTCCTGTCTGCAGACTTTTTTGTAACAGAGGAAGCGGTTCTGATGGCTAAAGACTTTCACTTTACATCAGCTATATTAAGAAAGGAGGTGGGTCAGTAGCAGCATAAACAGAGCTCAGCTGTCAAAGAACATGTATCACCTCTGCAAAGGTGGGATGAGAAGTGGGCATTCCCTTCTGTAAGTAATAAAAGTAAACCTACTTCACCAATAGAAAGATGGGAAGTGCTGACAGTTTCCAGGCATCATTTAAAGTGGACATCTGCACCTATATAATCACTTTCGAGAACCACAATATTCACTGAGACTAAGGGGCTGCAGTTTGCCTTCTTATAGGAGCAAAAAAGTATGAATCCTGGTTTTCTGTCTTATGGCAGGTATGTGACCAAGCCAGAGGACAGCTCAGAAATGGGGGATCCAGGAAAAAATGGGCTACACACACCCCGGCTGGCAGCAGGTTCCCTGAGTGGATTTTGTTTTCTGGGCTAGGGGATAAGTCCTGAACACTCAGGTCTAGCCTTCTCATCAATTCTGCTCATCACTCTTTAAAACTCCTTTTCTGCTTAATGAGCCAGAAATATTATTTAATAACATGAATAAAAGATAAAAGAGTAGTCTGTTAAAAAATCCTTTTTTCCTGCTTTATAAAAGGAAAGAATTACCTGGGCCTCTGGCCAGGTGATGGCAGTCACCCTTGCTCCAGGATTCACCACAAAACAGAGGTGATCTCAATTTGGTTTTTGAAACCATCCAGTGAACAGAAGTATACAATTCCTCCAAAGTCACAGAGGTGAGGAGTGGAAGACAAAGAGGTTTGATTACAGAGGCCAGGTTGCCCTTGTGACTCTGATTGGGCCCCACCTCACTCAGTCTCCTCTCAAGGGACCACCCTCCATTCTGGACCTGCTCACCACCTACAGTCAGGCCTCAGTCAAGGCACATCACCCCACCTACTAACTCTTGCATAAAGCACCATCTCAGGAAGCAAGAGGCTGAGCTTACAACCTCCTTTGTGGCATCTTTATTTTTCTACCTGGCACAGGAACAGTGTGAACGTGGGTCAGAAAAATCACTTGCACTGAAACACTCCAGCTAATTGTAAATCACAGGGGCGAGGACACGGAGGGTGGGGTGGCAATTCCAGACCAGCTTCCTCCAAGGACTTGTGGTCTAAGACTGTGACCAGAGGGTGCTCTGGGTAGGACCATGCAGTGCAGACTCTGGTGAAGAGGGACAAGGAAGACAGTCACAATGGGGACTGCAGCCCAGCATGGGTTTATTGGCTTATTATGGCTTCACGCTCCTGCTTGATGAAGCTGATCAGCCCATTGGTGGAAGAATCGTGAGAGGTCACTGGGCTGTTGCCATCAAGCTCAGGCTCAATTTTCTTAGCCAGCTGCTTTCCCAGCTCCACTCTGTCAGGAAGCGGAGAAAGAATGGGGTGAGGAGGGTTCTCGCATTGGTAGTAAAATGCAAAAGCATTCCCCACCCTCTCCTTGAGTCAACAACTCACCCCCATTGGTCGAAGCTGTTGATGTCCCAGATGATGCCCTGAACGAAGATCTTGTGCTCATACATGGCTGCAGAGGTGGCAGACAGTACACATTAGGGCCCTACCAGCCCCGCACAACTTTCCCCAAGCCGGCAGGACCTTCCCCACTCACCAATCAAGGCTCCAAGAATAAATGGTGTGAGCTTGGTGAACACAATAGAGTTGGTTGGACGATTTCCTTGAAAGACCTTCAGAAAACACCCAGGGATATCCTCCAGTTAGTGGTGATCCCTAAATCCTCAGAAGGGAAGCCCATCCTGCCCCAGAAGCTAGGATAGGTAGGTCTTTGAAGACAGCCCCTCCTTCCGTGTAGGACAATCCAGGCAAGCCACGAGTCCCTGCCTCGGCCCCCACTCCAGGATGCCACCTGACGCCCCGTGCTGACCTTGTGCGGCAAGAGCTTCTCCAAGTCTTCCGGACTCTTTCCTGCAGCCTGAAGCTCCTTCCGAGCCTCCTCCGTCGACTTCCCCTTCATCAGAGCCTCAGTCTGGGCCAAGAAGTTGGCCAGGAGGATCTGATGAGAGACATCCAGTTATGTTTGGAAGTGCTGCCTGAGCTTTAAGCAGAGGGACAGACCGCTGGCCCCCACTCTAGAGCTCGCTGGATCATGGGTGGGGGCAGCAAGGCACATCTGATGACACTGGAAAGTAGCTGACTACCGTATAAGGAACAGGTACTACTTGCCAAGGGCCCTGCTAAGAGCTTCACTGACATATGTTCAGATCTTGAGGAGGAAAGGCATCACATCGCATAGTTGAGCCTCAGTTTCCTCAAGTGAACAGCACTGCCTTGCAGAAGTATGGAGGAGAGGAATCTGACTTCAAACCCAGGTCCCTGAGTCCAAAGGTGGTGCTCATGGTGACCCGTGCTACTCTGCACACCTGAGGCAAGGCGTGACCAGTTTTCTTCAAGGACTTTGTCAGGTGAAGAGCTGGATGATTTTGCCATTTGCTGCTGTGGTAGGCAAGACCTTGGTTCCATGATTGGTGCCCCTTGCTGTTACACCTGTGTGTTATGTTATGTGGCAAAGGGATTTTACACATGGAATTAAGGTTACAGACCTTAAGATATAGAGATTATGCAGGTGGGACCAATGTAATTATATGGGCTTTTAAAATATATATATATTTTATTGATTATGCTATTACAGTTGTCCCATTTCCCCCCCCTTCACTTCCCTCCACACCCCCTCCCACCCACATTCCCCCACTTTGGTTCATGTCCATGTGTCATACTTATGAGTTCCTTAGGTTCTACATTTCCCATACTATTCTTACCCTCCCCCTATTTTCCACCTACCATCTATGCTACTTATTCTCTGTACCTTCTCCCCCTCTCTCCTCTTCCCACTCCCCTGTTGCTAACCCTCCATGTGATCTCCATTTCTGTGGTTCTGTTCCTGTTTTAGTTGTTTGCTTAGTTTTTGTTTTACAGTGTGGTTGTTAATAATTGTGAGTGTGCTGTCATTTTACTGTACATGTTTTTATTACCTGGGCTCTTAACGAGCAGAAGAGGAAGGCAAATGAATCAGTCAGAGATGCTGAAGCAGAGGCGGCAGGATTGAAACTTGAGTGGGACTCAACCCACCACTGCTAATTCTGAGATGGAGGGGACTATAAGCCAAGGTGGCTTTGAGAAGCTGAGAGTGATACCCCAGCCACCAGCAAGCAAGGAAACTGGACCTCGGTCCTAACCCGAGCAGAGACTCAGGAGAGTCTGGTGGACTTGGACCCATAGAAACTGAGGTAACAAATGGGCGTGGTTTTAAACCACTAAGTTTGCGATCATTTGTTGTGGCAGGAGTAGAAAACGAGTCTCACTGGTGACCAGTCCATCAGGTCTTAAGAGCGTTGGGTGTAACGTGAGCCTAGGAAAGTGTGAGGAAGGTCTGGATGGGGGCATGAGGGGTCTTACCTTGTGATGCAGACCCTTCCTTATTGGGTGCTGAGTCTGGACTGGGATGAGGAAGTCACAGGGTATCATCTTGGTGCCTGTGAAGGGCACTGTGGTCACCCAGGCGTCTACCCTAGCCCACCGGGGAGAGCACTGACCTAATGGACAGGCTGCGGTGGCATTCCCTCTCCCTTCCAGCAGCACCTGTGCCCAGGCCAGGTGGGCCCTACCTTGGTGGATGAGCTGGTAGAAGGCATGCTGGCCATTGGTCCCTGGCTCCCCCCACACAATGGGACCTGTCTGATGGTCCACACGGGTGCCGGACTTGGTGATGTACTTCCCATTGGACTCCATGTCACCCTGGAACGGACAGAAACCCAGCCCTCTATCTGCAAGTGTGCTCCTCTGCACGCCGTGCCCAACTCCTGCCTGAAACGTACCAGGCATACCTGCCCTGCCCGGGCCCTGTGAGATTATCTTTTTATCTTCTCTCACCCGTGAAGACACAAGCTCACAAGCTTTCTAGCTTAGACTACTCTGCAGGGAGGAACCGTGACCAGGAGAAGGTGGACATGACAGTTCTAGAAGACCTCCTTAAGAGCAGGTACTGACTTCAAACCCAGGTCCCTGAGTTTGAAGAAAGATTTTGTAAAATTGTTCACAAAATCTTCAACTGATTTCTTAAGGGAGAAGCAGGCCAGCGTTCAGAGTGTGGAGCCTTTGAGGGCTGTCACCCCAACTAGGTCTGGGCCTCAGGGTGTCTTTGCCCCGCCCTCAAGCAGAGGACTCTCCTCCAGGTGTTGGTGAAAGTCCACTGTGGCTGCCCAAGGGCTGCAGGGCAGGGGCCGGGATTGTGCTAAATGAAAGCAGGGACAGATGGGGAAGGGCTGCTGCCCACAGCAGAGGCTGAACTAGGAGAGGCACTCTGGGCGCTCTGGAGACTCCAGGAGAACAAGAGGCACCACAAACTGGGGGTGAACTTGCTTTCCTGGGGGGACAAAGGCAGTATAAGCCATTGGCATCCTGACATGTGGCCCCACCCGAATACAGGCACACGGAGTGATGTCCAAGGAAGAAATGACCCAGCTGAGAAATATGCCCAGAGCCATGTCAAAGCCTGACTAGCCAGAGCACCGTGATAACCAGTCATGCCCCTTCCATGCAAGTCAAACTCAGCTGACCCTCAGATCAAACAGATCCTGGATGCAAATATTCACCATGAGACGAGGAGTAGAGGCAGGCCTTGGTCATGCCCAAGGGTAATGGGGAAAAAGCCACTGGAGGTACAGGAAGCTGGGTAACTGGGCTCATGGGCCTCTCAGGCCCCCCCAAGGCCTGTCTGGCAGCTGGTACCTGCTGGAAGTAGGCGGCAAAGCGGTGTAGGTACTGGTCATAGGGCAGCATGGCATGTGTCTCACACCCAAAGAAGTTGATGTACCAGATACCCAGCAAAGCCAGCAGGACAGGGGCGTTCTTCTCCAGGGGTGCTGTGCGGAAGTGCTGGTCCTGAAACGAGAGCAGGTGGGTGAGCACTGAGCAGCTGCCAGGGAGGGAGGGGGGAGGGGGAGGGGAGGGAGCTGGACTAGCTGTCTGTCTCTGGCCAGCCTGGGCAAAGAACACGAGCCTCTGCACTTACCATCCAGTGAGCCCCCGAGAGCAGCTGCTCGAAGTTGTCAAATCCTGTGACACAAAAGCAGCGTCAACAGAAATGGCTGTGCCCTAAGCTCTCCTGGCAGTGGGCACAGCTTCTTCTGGAACCGGGGAAAGGCTGGATATGGGACCAGAAGAAAGAGGACCTGGAAGGAACTGGGCCTCTCTAACCACAGCCAGCTCTGAGAGCAAAGGTGGATCTAACTGCGTCACGTGGGAACAAGGTCTTCCAAACCCTACTCTGGGAAACAAACAGGACTGCAGTTGTGAGGGGCACAGAGCATGGCCAACCTGCAACCCCCAAAGAAAACTCAGTCCATCCTTCATGACCTGAAAGAAATGTACCAGGCCAAGGGAGGCGAGGCCAGCAGCCTGTGGGGGCAGGAAGATGCTCAGTGATATGAGACCATCCAACCTGAGATTTTCAGCATCATCTTCCAAGCCGTAAACACACTCACCCACGTGCAGAGCAATTGAGAGTCCAATGGCTGACCACAGCGAGTAGCGTCCTCCTACCCACTAAGAGAGACAGGAAAGAGTGCTGAGGAAGGGTTGGCACACCCGCCCCCCTCCCTCCTGATGCCCCCTTAGAGCAATGCTCTTCCTCAGGTGCGGCTCAGAGAGACTGGGCCCACCCCGCCTCTGGCCAGGTGCTGGGACTAATCACAAGACCTTACCATGACTGGCACTGTCTTCTCAGACACCGAAAGACCCAGTCAGTGCCTTTTACCTGTGCCAGGTCCAGCCTCTTCCAACACCGCCAGACCCAGAATCTCATACCTGTGCCCCATTTGGTTTCCTCAGACACCGACAGACTCAGTGCCTCATACCTGTGCCAGGCATGGCCTCCTTAGACACCGACAGACCTGGCCCCTCCTACCTGTGCCAGGCCCAGCCTCCTCAGATGTAGACAGACCCCATGCCTCATACCTGTGCCTTGGACACTGACAGATCAGAATCTCATCCCGGTGCCTGGTCGTGCCTCCAGAGATACCACCAGACCCAATGCTGCATACCTGCGCAAGGCATCTTCAAAATCTGACAGGCCCTGTCTCATACCTGTGCCAGGTCCCACTTCCTCAGACACCAACAGACCCAGGGCCTCTCACCTGTGTCTAGCCTCTGTGAGCACCGACAGACCCAGCACCTCATCCCTACACTTAGCTCACCTGCTCGGACACTGACAGATCACGACCTTATACCAGTGCTGTGCTCTGCATCCTCAGACTAACGGGTTCAGCTCCTCATACCTGGGCTCAAGCGCACTTCCTTGAACAATGACAGGCCCACACCTGGCCTTGGCCCCATCTCTCAGATACCGAGAGACTCAATGCCTCAGACCTGAGCCTGGCCTTGCCCCTTCTTACAACTAACAGACCCACATGTTAAGATACTGATTCTCGAGATACTGACAGGTCCCGTGGCTCATACCTGGACTTCCCTGATTGCCTGAGCCTCAGCCCCAAGACACACAGAGTACCTTTTCATGTACCACTGCAGACTCCACTTTGTATCACCAGAACCCTCAGAACTCCGTTCCCATCTTCCTAACTATGTAGGGAGCCCCTAGCACATTCCTAGCATAGGAAATGGAAAATAGTTCATGGGAGAGAAAGAGGTAAATGAAACAATCATGCTAATAAACGTGATAAAGAGATTCAAGAGTGTGGGAGAAAGAAAACACAGTACAGATAGTTATGAAAGGAATCTGAGGGGTGCCTAAGCACAGATTTGAAGAACAGGCATCATACAGGGAAGCAGGGAGAAAAAGCATTCAAGCAGCCAAAACAGCAGATGCAAAGGTCCTGTAGCAAGAGCAGCCTTTTCTCAATAGTGAGAGAATGAATCTCCACAGAAAATGCTTTGAGTGACTTCTCACTCTTCCAAGGACAGTCCAAGGCTAGTACCATTCCAGATGCAAAGGACAGATGCTAATTTGATTACAGTGGATGGGTGCCTTAAGGCACTAGAGCTTAATTCTCCACCCAAATCCACTGAAGCTGGCCAGGAGGAAGCACAGAACAATCTAGAAGATGAAGGAAGGTATGGGGACTGGAGGGGAGAAGCTGAGAGGCAAGGCTGGAGAAGAAAGAAGTCAGAATGGGGTGAGAATGGAAGCAGAAAACCACCCAACCCCCAGTGGTCACCCAGAGAATGATGCTGCCCCGCAGGGTGCAGATTCAGTGGGTTCAACCAAACAGGAGGAGTCCGGAGGATTCGAGAACAAGTGTGGCCCGGAGGTTTCTGCCTCAGGTAATCAGGTAAATGCGGGAGCCTTCACTGGGAATGGGTCCGAGTGTGGGGGAAACTTACCTCACAGACACAGTTCTGCTGGCCACACCATGCCTGACACAGGCTCTCAGATGTCACCAGACTCCAGTCCAGAAACCAGACTGAGCAGCCAGCCAGCACTCAGACAGACAGATTCTAGGCTGCTGACCTTGGCTGAAGCTAGGTCATCAGATCTCACTTTTTTGGACAGCCCAACAATGCCAGTGACTGATTTGAGCCTCTGAAACCTCAACCTGCAGACGCAGATCTCTAGAGCCCACCTATACCTCCAGTGGGCCTCGTAGACCACACCTTATAGATGTAGCTCCTCAGTCTGTTCAACATTCTGTGCCTCACCTGTGCCCCAGACCTCGCTTTACCTGACAAGGTATAATCCTGTCTTTTCCTCTCCTGAGAAGTCAGACCCTTGCCTCCAACACTACAGACCACACCTCAGACTCTTCATAGATCCTTACTCCTCTGCCACACCCTGAGCTCTTCCCAAGGCACCTGACCAGGATGCTGACCCCGCTCAGAGTGTTCTATCTCTTACCTGATCCTAAGGGTTCTCGAGATCTTGCCAGGCAGGCCCAGGTACACATACCTAGAGCAACTGTCTCTTCCTTGATGGCAGCCCCATACTACCCACCTACCCATGAGCAACCCTACCACTAAAGGTTCCACCTTCTCAGGCCTCATCAGCCACACCGATTATGCATTCCTGGGCCAGATCCTGCCCACTCATTTTGCCCAACAAGCCCAAGGATGCCACTTTGCACCTGAATCCAGGTGGCAAGAACCCACCTAAAGATCACATTTCTACACCTCTGCCCACGTGACCCTAGATCCATGGACTCACTGACAAAGCCAGGATTGGGCGTGGGTGCAATGGCTTCCCCTGGGGGGGTTAGCTCTGTCTGTGTTCTACTGCAGTCCTCATACTGCAGGGTTCTACACCTGTCAGAGGCAGGAGCAAAACAGCTCAGCTAAAGGACCAAGTTTCATGTACCTGTTTCAGCCTGCATCTCAAGCTGTAGACCCAGGTCCACCTCCCTGAGCCCAACTGAGACTACTCACATCTTTTCTGGAGAGATCCAGCTTTATCTACATGGGCTCCCAGGCCTATCCTGAGAGACCCAAGTCTACATCCTACACTTGACTATGATCTTCCAGAAAGATCCTATACCACCAACACTAACAACCCTTGCTTAACTTGGGCACCAATACCTCAATGAGAAGTCACAGACCTCATCAGACATGAACATCTCTGCACACCTGGGCTCCACAGACCCCACCTGAGCGACGTAGTTCTACCTACTGTGACTAGCACATGCTCCTCAAGCCCAACCTGTAAGACCTGGGCCAACACACCTGAGCCAAAACCATGCTCCAAGGACTTCACCTGCAGGATCCCAGTATACTTATCTCTAGCTCCCAAGTTCTTGCTTGAGAGCCTATCTACCTACCTGTGTCTAACTTTGGCCCCTGAGGCTCTTATAAGCCCCACAATGCTCTGCCTGACCTAGAAGGCCGCTGTACCCTAATGCTTGAGGCCTCACTACTAGGAACCAGGAGTACCCACCACCTGAAATAGTCAACTCTACTTCCCTGTGTTCAACCCTAACTCCTTAAGCCTATTAAGACATTGCACTTGGCAGATGGGTAGGTAGGCAGATTACACTTTGTCTACCTACCTTTGACTCTGGTTCCTCAAACCACATTTGGTAGGCCAGCTCCACCCAACTTATGGATTGATTCTGGGGCCTCAGACTACACCTGATAATCCAGCTCTACCTTGCTGTGTTTGACCCTGGCTCCCTATACTGTACCTAGTGAGCCAGTGCTTGGCTCCTCAGATCACACCTGGTTGAATACTTCTACCTACCTATGCCTGACCCAGGATCCTCAGGTGGCACCTGGCATGTCAGCTCTGCCTACCTTTGCTGGACTTAGGCTCCTCCAACCACAACTGGTGGGCCAGCTTTACCTACCTATACATGACACAGGCTCCTTATACTGTACGTAGTGGGCCAGTTCTACTACCTGTGCTTGACCCTGGGTCCTCAAATAGCACCTGTCAGACCAGCTCTGCCTACCTGTGCTTGACCCTAGGCTCTCCAACCTCATCTGACAGGTCAGTTCTATAAATCTACTGACCTTGGCTGCTTACACTGCAGCTGGTCGGCCAGCTTTACCTACCTGTGCTTGATCCTGGGTCTTCAGACAGCACCTGTCAGACCAACTTTGCCTGCCTGTGCTTGACCTAGGCTTCTCTAATCACAACTGGTGGTCCAGCTCTACCTACCTATATGTGACCCTGGCTCCTTATACTGTACCTAGTGGTCATTTCTGCCTACCTGTGATTAACCCTGGCTCCTCAGAGCTCACCTGGTGGGCCAGCTCTACCTACTACCTGTACTTGACCTTGGCTCTTCAGACCACACCTGTGAGCCAGCTCTACTTACCTGGAAATGACCCTGGCTCCTCATACTCTACCTCGTGGGCCATCTCTGCCTACCTTTTCTTGACTTTGGCTCCTCAAACCACATTGGGTAGGACAGTTCTACCTACCCATGCTGGACCTTAGATCCTCAGACAACATGACAGCCAGTTTTACCTACCTGTGCTTAACCCTGCTTCCTCAGACCAAACCTGGCAGGCCAGCTGTATCTATAGATGACCGTGGCTACTTACATTGTAGCTTATGGGCCAGCTCTACCTACCTGTGCTTGACCCTGGGTTCCAGAACACTCATGGCAGGCCAGCTTTGCTTACCTGTACTTGACACTCATTCCTCAGACCTCACCCGCTGGGACAATGCTGCTTACCTGTGTTTGATACTGGTAAGCGAGTATCAAGTGCTCGCAAGGAACATATCTGGTGGGCCAGTTCTATCTGCTTGTGCTTGCTACTAGCTGCAAAGACTCCACATGGTGGGCAAGCTTTGCCTACCTGTACCTCATCTGCTTATAGTTCATCAAAGGCATTCAGTTCTTACCTGAGCTTAACTGACTTTTAAAATTTTACTCATCGAACCCAGTTTAACTTGCCCTGATCCTGGCTCCCTAGACCTCACCTGGCAAATCCTGGTCTACCCACCTGTGCCTAACTCACGCTGACTCACCCAAAGATACAAACCTGTGCCAGATGCAGACTCCACAGATCTCACCAGAGAAACTCAGTTCTATATACCTGTACCTGGCCCCAACTCCTCAACCTCACAGGACAGGCAGAGATGCAGTTTTATCTGCCAATCTCAATCTTACCTGAAAGATCCAGATCTACTCACTGAACCCAACCCCCCAGCTCCTGCCACCTCACCCGACAGACCTCGCTCTATCCACCTGCCTTCGCTCATATTCTCAGAGGTCATCTAAGAGATTCAGTTTTTTGCAGATGAGTCTAACCCTGGCTCTACAGGGCCTTACCTACAAATCTGCTCTACCTTCCTGTGCCTGAACTCACCTGTGAGACAGAGTTGGATGAACCCAGCCATGGCTTCTCAGGTCACCCTACCTCTGCTTGCCCTTGGTTTCACAGACATTACTTGAAAGACTCAGCTCCGCCCAGCTGTGCTTTTCCCAGCTACTCAGAAGTATAATACAAACCAGGGCCTTGACTTTACCTGTTCAAGCCCCAAAAATACTAATCTATGTATCTCACCTCAAATCCTCCAACCTTACCTGACAGACCCACTTCACATACCTGAGTGAGACCCAGAATTCACATCCTTCCACATGGATGTTAGTTCTACATCCCTTTGCCTTACTTCAGCTTTCGATCTTTCCCCAAGGAACCGGGACTGCTGAACTCTTCGGTGTGCAACACTACTCAGCCCTCACCTGAGGACAAAGTTCTGACCTCGTCCTCACCATGGTCTCCACCTGACAGACTCACCTCTGTCTCTGCCTCTCTTTGGCTCCAGTGTCCTCACCTGACCAATCCAGTTCTACCTAAATGTGCCTAATCTTGGCTTCTCAGGCCTCTTTAAGACACCTAGTTACACACACAACTGAGTCCAGTTGCTGAGACCTCAGACAGATGTGGCTCTAGAGACCACCCCTGGCAGACGCCAGTCATCCCTTATTCGCAGTTTTGCTTCCTGCGATTTCAGTTACCCATGGTCAACCATACAACAAAAATATTAAATGGAAAATCCCAGAAAGAAACAATTTACAAGTTTTTAACTGCACACTGTTCTGAGTAGGGTGAGGAGATCTCATGCTCTGTCCTATCCAGGATGTGAAGCATCCCTTTGTCCAGCATAACCACATGGCAGACGCTCCCTGCCTGTTCGCCGCTTGTAGCCATCTAGGTTACTACATCGACTGTCATAGCACCAGGGTTCTTATGTTCGAGTCACCCTTATTTTACCTAACATGACCCCCCAAAGCAAGCGAGTAATGCCTATAATTCAGGTATGCCAAAAAAGCCATAAAGTACTTCCTGTAAGTAAAAGGAGAAAATTCTTCTCTTAAAAAAAAAAAATGCATGCTCTGAGGTTACTAAGTGCTATGGTAAGGCCAAATCTTTAATCCATGAAGTTATGATGAAGAAAACAATTGTGAAGGGTGAGTGTCGTACAATATGGTATTTTGAGAGAGAGAGACCACATTCACGTAACATTTGTATAGTATACTGTTAGAACTGTTCTATTTTATTATTGTTATTAATCTAAAATTACTGTTACTAATCTCTTACTCTCCCTAATTTATAAATTAAACTTTATCATAGGTATGTATGTATAGGAAAAAACAGTATATATAGGGTTCAGTACGATCCAGTTTCAGGCATCCACGGGAGGTCTTGGAACGTATTCCTTTAGAAAAGGGAGGATTGTGGCACAAATCTAACCTGACCAGACAATTCCCTCAGAACTGACAGATTCCTGGCTGCTTACCTGGGCCTAAGAGAAACCTGGTGAGAGCCCGGTATGCCACAGTGTCTGAGGGACTTGCACCTCAGACATATCTTGCACACAACGGTCTCTAGACCTTGATCTACCATGAGCCTCCTAGACCATGACATACTGATGTAGCTCCTCAGCTGGTTTACCTGCCTGTTCTTTCCCAGACCTAACTCTCTGGTCCTCACCTTTTACCACCAGGTGCACTCCCACCTCTCTCTCTCATGTGGACTCCTCAAACCCCACCCCAGCCAGATTCTGTGCCACAGGCCATGCCCTGGCCTGGTTATGGAACCTTGAGCTCTGCCCTGTACGGCCAGTCAAAGAGCCACTTGGCTGCCCCGGCTCAGGGCACTTTCCTGTGTTTGTTTTATCTGGAGCTCTAATCACTGATGCTGACTTCTCAGAACTGATTAGAGAGGCCACAATGCACATACCTGTACCAAGCCACAGATCTAAACCTCAACTCACAGATCCAGATTTAAATGTCTCGATGCAACTTGGGATGCTCAGACCTCACTTGACAGAGCCATTTGTAAATACCTGTGTCTCCTCCAGAATTCAAAGACCTGTATCTTTTACCTGTCCTGGCACCTCCTAGAACTCACCTGTACCTGTACTGGTTCCTCTTCAGACCTCACCAGGAAAAATTAGCTCTTCAACGCATGCTGACTCGCTGATCCCTGACACAATTTACTGCCATGCTCCTGCCCGATCCCAACATACGAAGCTGCCCGATGACTTACCTCAACAGATGGGGCCTCACTTTCCATACCTCTGCCAGACTGGATTCTTCCAATCCTACCTCAGAGCCAACGCAATATCCCTATGTCTGTCCTGACTTCTCTGCCTCACCTGAGACACTCTAACTCCAGAAACTTCACCCGTCCCTGTTCTTGGCTCCTCAGGCGTCGACATCTCAGTTCAACATTATACACTTTTAGTGAACCAGGCCACTGTCTAGACAGGCCCAGGAGGCCTCCACTGTGCCTGGATACTCACTAGCCAGCCAGAGCCCCATGTTTCTATGCCCAGGTGTCATTCCTAGGCCTTACCTGAGAGAGACAGTCCTCTGCCTAAGCCACACCCCATCTCATCTCTGCGTGCTGAGTAATTACGGGCACTGAAAACCCAGATTGGGACACACGCTGCTCTGCTAGGCTCCCTGGCTAGCAGGAGCACCCACACGTCCCTGACCACCATTCATTCAGGCTCCAGGTCCCGGGGCGGAGGTGAAAGGTGCCTCCCCTCCTTTGTCAGGCATGCAGCGTTTGTTAGAAGCTGCAGTCTTTCTCCACAGGGCTTCCTTGTCTGAGCCACTGGATGCAGAAAATGACTTGAGTGACTTCTCAATTCTTCCAAGCATGGTACACAACTAGTTCCATTACAGAAAGAAGTTAACTCATTACACACAACAGATGCCTTAGGGCTTAATTCTCTCCCAGACTCCTCAGCTTTCAGAGCTTGCAAAGGTTACGTTTGTGAATAATGCCACCGTGCAAAGAGCTTCCAGTCTAAAGGCCTGGAAACAGTCCCAGGGGGATCAAGCCCTCGTTGGTCATGACCTCGTCTGCCGGGGTCATGCCCACTGCACTCACAGCACCACACCCTGCACTGGACCCCGGAACCCCAAACCTTCCCTGCTTTCCACAGCCAGAGTCCTTCTCACACCACTGCTGCTCTCAACCACAATGCAAGGACAGCTCCTGCCCACTGCTTGGCACCAGCTGTGGCTCTAGCAGAGATGAGTCCATGGGACCACCCGTCACTTGAGTGGCCTGCAGCTCTATCACTCAGTCTAGGTTTGCTCTGCAAGCTGCCTGGCCAGGCCCTACCCAGGCCTGGTGCCTCCCCTCTTTGCCGCCCTCCAGCTGCTCCGGCAGCATCTTTCCAGGTCTGCCTGGCCATGCCCCCTGCCTCTGCCCTGGCCCTTGGCCTTTTCAGATTGTGGCTGTAGTTCCTGAGAAAGGTCATCACTGAGAATAACTCAAAACCTGAGCTTCCTGAGGCTGGTAGAGGTAGCTCCAGTTACCCCACTGTGGGTGCTGCTGGCAGGCACCCAGGGGACTGTCACCATGGCCTCGCAAACTTGGCCCACCCTTGGTGGAAGTGGAGCTCTCTCATCCTGACTGGGCTGCTCCTGCCCCACAAGCCTCTTGGCTCGTCTCAAAGCCAAGCATGCAGCAGGTACTCAATAAATGTTGCCCTGACCCCACGGGCCCCTTAGCTGTGCTCACTGGTCATGACTTAGCAAAGGACACATAATTAACCCAGCATCAAGTGCCTTTACTTACATCCCAGAACTCGAACATGTTTTGAGGATCAATTCCAAACTCCTTCACTTTGGGCTAAAGGGACAAAGGGAGAGGGAAAGAGGGAAGCACGTATTAGCTGGGCAAGAACAGGAGCTCCAGGGTAAAAAGGGTTGTGCAGTCCAAGCCAGGGAGCACCCCCACCTTCCAAAGAACCCCAGATTGGGCAGGGCTGCAATAGCCTAAGAGTCCAGGACAGGGACCAAGAGCTTTCATCCTGCAAAGCTGGACATGAAGCCAGCTCAAATCCAGCACGCCAGTGGCTCAGCACCTGGGAGGACTTCCTGCTGAGGGGACTGCACACCCAGTATGAGGACTGGACCTACACACCGCTCTGGCAAGACCTACCTACACGCCTGTCAGGGTACCAGACTTACCCCCGAGGACATCTGGGAAATGAAACCTAAGACTGGAACCGAAGCCCTGGCAGGGGCTACCTCCCAGGCCAGGGCCACACAGCCAGGACACCTGCCCAGCCCTTCCAAAATCTGGGTAGTGACTCTACCAACGAAGCTTCTGCGGACGATCAATCCTATTCCTCAGGTGCCCCAGTCCCCCAGGCAGAAATGCCCTACTAAGCGATCTGAGCTCCACCTGCAGGAGCCAGACAGTCATGCTGCGGTCAGCCAGCCTAAAGATGGCTTCCTCTCTCCCCCAGTGGGCAGGTCAGCAGTGGAGGCAGGAAGAGGTGGAAGGAACAGAAGGGAGCAGTGAGGAAGACCTGGGTGTGGTTCCAACTTTGTCACAGCCCGGTACCAAGGCCATCGCACAGCCAGTGCTCGCAAGGTTTGCCACGGTTGTTCCTTCTGGAGCTCCCTTACCCCTACTGGCCCCAGTTGGCCCACCCTACCTTGCATAACCTTTGGTCAGCCAGACTGTGAGACCTGGCTGGCAGGTGACCCGCATTCTAATCCCAGAAACTACTGGGCAAAAAGTCACATCCCTTCATTGGGGCCAACACCCTTATGTAAGAAATGAGATGCAACCCCCATCCCTGGCCAGCATTCCCATTTTTGGAGAGGCTGGTGGCAGGGCAGCACAGGCCTGGGAGGTCATATGTCTACAGTGTTAGGCCTCAGGGATAGATGGGGTTGACGCAATCTCATTGGCTACCAAACCTCACTGGAGCTGCAGAGACTTGATGGGAGAATGTAGAAAAGACAAGGATAGTCTGTGGCTCATGTGCCTCTTAGGTGACTAACCCTCACACCCCATCAGCCGAGCAAGATCCCCAAACCTGTGAGCCACATCTTGGCACACATATTCTGAAAGGCCACGCCCTTGGCCAAGGCAGGCCCTTCCTGGGAGGCAGTCTGGGGACCCACATGGATACTCACCGTGTTGGTAGACAGGGCAACAAAATGCTTCGCAACAGCTGAAGGCTACAAGAGACAGAGCCAAGTTACACAGAACCCATTCCAGGGGTCCTCCCAAGGGACAGAATACTCCCATCTCCAGAAAAAACAAGTTTGTGTTTCTGAGGCTGTTCAAGGAGCCCCACCTCAAGGTCAAGAGGACACAGGGGCCAGAGGCCAGCCGGCCCACATTACCTCACTAGCATACAAGGCCCAGGAATGGCCCTCCCCATAAAGTAGGTGTGGCCAGGGATAGAGAGGATCCCACAGGACCAAGGGGCCTTAAAAGAACCCCCAGCCAATTAGAACAGGTTCTGCTACATCTAGTATGTCTGTAGCTGGCAAAGCCAAATTTCTTAACCAGAAAAGTCAGGCACCAGAGAGGCTGCCTCCTGTTACACAAAAGGGGCTACAGGACTGGACTCAGCCACTTAGGTGGATGGGCAACCCCTCCCACACGTCCTTCCTGGCCTACAAGCTGCCCACTGCCCACCCACCACTCACATCCTTGGCCGACTGGAGAAGCCAATCCTTTGCTGTCTCTGCATTCGTGATGGTCTCCTGGGTGGTAAAAGTCTGCAGCCAGAGAGTACAACAGTTGGTCCCAAGCTCAGGGCCTGTGCAGCCTTGAACCAGGGCTCAGCAGCAGAGGCTATGTAGGTGCCCAGTTGTCACAAGGAGCAGTGCGTGACATCACATAACTTCTACCCAACACATCCACAAGGCCATGATGACTGGCTGTGCTGGGCTAAAAGGGGCCTGGAAGTAGCAGCATCGCCCTGTGATTCCAGGACTTCACAACCAGAGGGAGGGCAACCCTAGTAGGAGCCACAATCTACCCTCCGTCCCCCAATCCCTGCCACAGCTCAAAGGCCGATCATCTTCCATGAGAGGGGCTACAGCCAAACCTGGACCCCCCTTCAGCCCAGGCTAGGCTATAACTCAGAAGCCAGATAAAATTCTTATTATGTTGTGTGCATCAATGAGACTGAACAGCATAAATGACAAGAACAAAACGCTTCCATTATCTGAGCATGGCTCTGGGATCAGAAAGGAGCAGACACTGGGGACAGATCTCTAAGGATGACAACAGTCCCAGGCTGAGCACAGATCCCACAGCGCGAGTAGGTATGGCCTGAAGACCAAGATTCAAATTGATCAGTCCAGGCTTTCTTCAGGTAAACAGTTTGCTCCCAGACAAGGAACCTTCTGAGGGCAGCTGCACTAACCCGATTCACAAAGCATAGTTCACTCAGACGTCCTGGGGAGGGTCCCACGCCCTGCCCCCACCCCAATACACACACACAGGAGAGCCAGTCTAGGTTTGAGGCCCGTACCTTGGAAGCAATGATGAACAGGGAGGACCCAGGGTTCAGGTTGGCCAGGGTTTTGGCTATGTGGGTCCCATCAATGTTGGAGACAAACCAGACCCGGGGGCCTCCTGAAGAGTACGGCTTCAGGGCTTCAGTCACCATGAGGGGTCCCTGTGGGGAGATGCAGCATCAGAAAACAAGACTCCAGGGCCAAGAGGCAAGGACAGCCAGGTCACATCACTGGAAAAACCAAGGCTCTAGATGGGACCCCTCTCCCCATCCCAAAACCGTCCTCTCCTTACCAGGTCCGAGCCACCGATGCCAATGTTGATGACGTCTGTGATGGACTTGCCTGAGTAACCCTTCCACTCACCGCTGCGGACGCGCTGGTACAGAGCAAGAGATGTGATCAGCCCATACCCCTCAGGATAAGCTGCTACTCAGAAACATCATTACTTCTACATCCTTACACCTCAGTCCTAACTTCCAGGCCCTTGCAGGGGCCTATTGAGTGGCAGATCTCTGCCACACTCAACCCCAGCTATTTCATCACCAGCAAAGTGGGATGACATCCCCACCTCGCAGAAACATTATCGGGATTTATAAAACAAGGACGTACTTTCAACAGAACCCAATACATCAAAGACCAAGAGATGTGAAATGCCAACCACTGTGACTGGTCTGTACTGGAAAAAGAATATTGGACCAGTAGCCAACCTCCGCATGGACCTCCATGATTCTTGCCTCCTGGGTATTCACACCCCAGCAGAAACCCAGTGCTGAACAGGGCTGACCTGTGCACCCCTTAGGATGCTGCGGACATGACGGAGCGTGACTTCAGAAGCTGGGGCATAAAAGGCCTCGCAGGTTCAGCCTTTCTTTCCTGTATCACTCACTTTTGGTGAAGCCATCTACTCTGTTATAAGGACACACAGGACATCACAGGAAGAAGCCCATGAGGCAAGGAACTGAGGTGTTTTTCCAACAGCCAGGGCAAATTCACCAACCATGAACAAGAGCCACCCTGGAAGAAGATCCTCCAGAACCCGCCAAGCATTCAGATAAGTGCAGCCTTGGCAAACATCTCGACCACACCCTCAAGAGACCCCTAAATCAAGATCAACCACTTAAGCCACTTTATAATTTCTGACCCATAGAAACTATGTGAGATAAATGTTTACTGCTATTTTAAGCCAAGTCTGGTGTAATTTGTTATATAATAATAAATAACTAATGCACACTTTGATACCAGAAATCTACCAAAGTAGAATATTGCTGTAACAAAACCCAAAAATATGTGGGCGAAAGCTAAAAGAACCTTGAGGACAGAGTTGGAGAAAGCCTAAAAAAACACTGGGAGAGACAGTTGGCGGAAGTTTGACAGTCCTCAAAGAGGCTGCAAGGGGGAAACATTATTGGAAACCAGAGGAATCCTCGTTGTGCAGTGGCAGAGCTGCCTGCTCCTACGTACGAGCTGGATGATCTAGCTACCGAGATTTTGCTGTATTCAATGAACTGCCTGGATTTCAGTGCTCAGAGTAAAAATACAAGAGGAGAAAAGTAAGGTAAAGGAAAAACTTCTAAACAAAAACAAGCCAGGACTGCTGGGTTGAAAATTCCCAGCCTCTCCAGCAAGCGAGTGATGCTAAAGTTAAGAGACAGCTTCTTGGCAAAGACCAAATGTGGGGCACTGTCACAAAAGCACATTATAAAGACAAATCTGAGAGTGGAGCTGTGAAACCCTTTGTTAAGACCTCAGAAAAAGCTAAGGCTATAACATGGAGAGCCTTTTGGTCAAAGATAAGGCTTGTAAGGAGCTCAAGAATACTGTCACTGTGGTCTCAAGAGAAGGACTTATCTTTTTTTTTTTTTAATTTATTTATCTTTAAAAGGGAAGGGAAGGAGAGAGGAGGAGAAATATCAATATATGGTTGCTTCTGGTGTGTCCCCTGCTGGGAACTGGCCTGCAACCCAGGCATGTGCCCTGGCTGGGAATTGAACCGCAATCTTTTGGTTTGCAGGCCCAAGCTCAGTCCACTGAGCTACACCAGCCAGGGCTGAGAAGGACTTATCTTGAAGAAATTTGTGGGTATTGCTTTTGTCTAATGGAGTGAACTCCCCCCATAATCTTCATAGGAGTTTTCATAGGAGACCCAGAGTTTTTAAGATACTCAACTTGGACTAAAAGGGACAGAGATGGTACAAAGGAAAAAGAAGCCTTTAGATACTCACATTTCTACAGGCAATAAGCAGGCTGAGAGAACTGTGCAGTTGCAAAGTACCTTTCACGTAAAAGGGATAAATGAAGGCAAAGCCAAAATCCCTAAGGAATGATTCCCAAACCTTGAGTTTAGCTAACCTAGCAAAATTGCTTTGGACCGATGGCTCCTGTATGCCTCCCATTCCCCACCCCCTCCTTTTGAAAAAGACTTATCCTAACAGTTATCATATGCTTATCTCATTATTGTATTTTGGGTATGTGAGGGGGTAAATAACTTGTCTCTTTAATTCACACATCTTCAAATCAAAAGGAACTATATTTATGCTGTATTGAAAGAAATTCAGGTATTATATACCTGTACCTAACTTAGGTGATGAGGTCCTTGACTTCTAGCTGATACTATAATGGGATATCACCTCAGAAGGTGAGAGGGGATACTTTGCATGGGGAAGGAACATGACGAATCACTGGGAGCCAGAGGGCAGAGTGTGGTAGCCAATTTCCAAGTTGGTTTCCAATGATCTTTACCTCCTGGCATTGCATTCATGTCCTTATGTGGTCCCCTCCCACTAATCACAGCTGACCGGTAAAACCAAGAGGGTATCACAGAAATCAAAGAGTACAATTTTATATGCCAGCTCTTAAAAAACCTTGAGGCACTCTGGATCATTCGCTCTGGGGAAAATCAGCTGCCTTGCCATGAGAACCCTCAAACAGCCTGTGGAGAGGTCTATCTGCTGAGGAACCGAAGGCTCTCAAAACCCAGCAGTAATTGCTAGGGAGCCACTTGGAAGCAGATCCTGCAGGCCCAGACTTTAAATGAGTGCAACCTTGCCCTAGCCAGTAGCTCAGTTGGCTGGAGCATTGTCCCGATGTGCCAAGGTTATGGATTTGAACCCTGGTCAGGGCACATATGAGAATTCAACCAATGAATGCATAAATAAGTGGAACAAAAAGTTGATGTTTCTCTATCTCTCAAATCAATTCACTCAATCAATCAGTGTAACCTTAGGCCAACATCTTGACAACCTCATGAGGCCTAATGAGGCAGAATCAGCCGGCAGAGACACTGCAAATGCCTGATTCACACAGATGTTCATTGTTGTTTTTAGCTGCTAAATTCTGGAGTAATTAGAAGACCCAGCAACTTTTATTTTTGCTTTAAATAATAAAGTCATCAACCTACGAAAAATTTCCATCAATACAGAAAGGTAGTAAGTCACACATTTTCTCAACCTTCAATCTCACCATTACAGTTCTGTTATAATAAAGCGTCTCAGAGGGTGAAGTGTGTGTATCTTTAATAAAATCACACGTATGCTTTATTTGACCAGATGATATTTTACAACATGTGCCAATTCTGTAACTTCCTCTTTAAACTTCAGGGTATATCCTGAACAGCACAGCAGGTCAATGCCACTGTAGCTCCCTAATTCCTCATGGTGCTCCCTAAGTCCTACAGTATATGAACATACAATTTTACTGAGCAGTCCCCTCTGATAAATGAGCTCAGGTTGTTTCCAGTTTTTGCCATGACAATCAAAGTCATGGCAAACGTCCTCACCCAATCTCAGCAAACGTTTAAGAGCACAGCCATGGGGAGCGTTCCCCAGCATGGAATTGCTGCCATTTAGCAGCTTTTTTATACTACAAATAGGCCATCAGTCTGAGTCAGGTACTCCAGCAGCCAGCCGTAAGGAAGGGCTTTCCTGGAAACAGCTTCCCAGACAGCCAGTGGCACATTCTCCACAGGACATTCCTGAGCTTTCTTTCTTTATTTTTTAGAGAGAGGGGAAGGGAGGGAAAGAGAGGGAGAGAAACATTGATCGGTTGCCTCTTGTATGCCCCCAACCTGGGACTGGGCCCACAACCCAGGCATGTGCCCTGATCGGGAATTGACCTGTAGACCTTTCACTTTTCAGGCCACATGCCCAACCAATTGAGCCACACCAGCTAGGCCTGAGCACACAATGATTGATTGAACTTCTAGAGTAGCAGGCTTCCCAGGCATGTCAGCTCTGCCACTCAAGCAGATAGGTGGAAATGCCCTTCCTTACACCCAGGGGACTTCACACATACCAACCACTGTTAAGGAACATTCTGGAAACCAGATTCCCATCAGGATCCCAAGCCTTCCTCACCCCGGGAAGTGCTACCCATTCGGCTGCCAGGCCTCTAGGACTGATGTCCAGATGACCTCCTGCCATTTCAGGTCTGAAAATGGCTCTTAGCCAAAGCAAGCAGACTTTGACCAGCCACACGTGGGCAACTGCTGCCAGGTACAAGCTGACCAGAGCCCAGATTATCGCTCCCAGAGCACACATAATGAAGGTGCATAGACCAATATGCCCACAGACGTCGCCCTTGTACTCCAGGCTCGAGGACGTCTGCCACCCACTGAAGAATCACTTCTGGGAAAGGCACCAAGGTGAGTGCTGATGTGGTGAAACCTCTCGCTGGTCTGAGCTGCACCTCTACGCCCCCAGCACATTAGCGCTGACATAGGGACATCCGTTACATATTTAAAAGTACAAGTGAGCTGCAGCACAGCAGGTGAAAATGAACCTGTGTGTCTGTGTGGGTATGCGCATATTTCCAAAAGGAGATGACAGATGTATACGCACATGCAGAGGAAGCCTCTGCAGAGTTGTCTAGGGGTGTGGACAGGGAATCTGAAAACATTCATTTTATCTAGTTCTAGAGTAGGCAATAAAGGCCATGACTAAAGAGATTACAAACAGCCAGTGTGTTCCCCACTCTCCCATCCGTCGGGAGCCTCACTTTTCTTTTCAGATCTCAGCCGCTGGCCAGTTTGACCACGCGCCCACAGGCGTCTATGGCTCAGGAAGAAAGCTGCTCTACTGCTGCCAGTGGGGGGTTTCCTCAGAACAGGGTCAGGGAAATTTGTGCACCAGCAGAGACCCCAAGGGCTAGCAATCTCACAGACCACTCACGCCTCGGGCTGCAATGAGGGCTTGAGTGCTCTATAAGGAGAGTGGAGGGGTGGCCCACCAGGGCCCCCAAATTCCCAGATATATGTATACATCCAGCTAAAGGCAAGTCCAGCCCAAAGTTCCTTACCTGACAGAAAGACTTCATCTTCTCCAGGACCCTGTTGACTTCTGGCATCACATCCTTGCCATCCACCAGAGTGGGCGTGTTTGACCGGTTCCGCAACGCCACGTGCAGCACTGCCCGATTCTGGGGACAAGAGTCGGAGTGAGAAGATCCCCACCCCAGGGCAGCCATACTCCCAGATGGTCATGGAGCAGGGTGGCCCCGAGAGTTGGTTTGGTCCCCTGAGGTTTCTGTCAGCACCATGGTTTCATACCGAGAACCCACTGTGTGCTTCCAGAAGTGGAGGCTACCCTAGGCCCCGGAAAGGTAAGGCATGTGCCACTGCCTTATGTGCTGCAAACAGTGACTAGGGGACAGAGACTGGAACCAGCCATGAATAGGCCCCAGGGACCACAGTTATTCAGTGCATGAAAAGCCAAGGAAAGAGGAACACAGAGGTGACAACACAGGGCAGAGATGAGCAATGGCTTCAGAGGACATGGGCTCGTAAAGCCTAATGCTGGCTCATCTTCCTGATGAGAGTACACAGTATTTGCTGGCATCTTTTGAAAAGTGACCCCAGCCCCTTGAATATAAGGCAGTGGCAACTCAAGCTCCCCTTAACAAGCAGCCCCATCTCCCCAAATGCCAAAAACACACCAGACCCTAGTCTGTGACAGGTGCCAGGCAGCTGCTGCCTTCTCATGTAAGAGCAACAGTCTCATCAAGCAGAAGCCAGCAGAGGAGTCCTTGAGGGAAACATATCTAAAAATACCAGGTAAGCAGGAAAAAGATGATCTGGGGACTCCAACCCAGGGAGAGGCTCGCTACCCTGCCCCGCATTCAAAAGGCAAATGCACCCGTCCAGGAAGCCCTCCTAGATTTCAGCCTCTCTCAGCCTAGCCCAGTAGTGCAAGACAGGTTGTGTTTGAATCCTGGCTCTGCCTCTTAAAGATATGACATCTTGGATAAGCAACTTGACCTCTGAGCCTCAGGTTCCTCCTGTGTTAAAGCAGGATAATATTCTGAGGTCTAGCCTCTGAGTGCTCAGTGATTATCAGGCCTCCAGGCTTCCACAGCCATTCAGGCGCAAGGCCCCCAAAGCCTGACCTTACCACTGCTTCTTATGACTCCTACCACTGAGGAGGTTGATCTTTTGCCACAAGATTCTTCTTTTTACTAGTAAAACTTGCAGCAAAGCTGCATCCAAGTTAAGTTCTCCAAGTATGCCTTGAGAAGCCCTCTACCTGCAGGCTTAAGATGTGCTCTCCCCAGGCAGACATGGGACCCATCCACACTCCCCAGATCCAGACCATCAGTCCTGGGGAAGACACCCACCAAAGCTGGGTAACTTGCTGGAGAAAACAGGCCTTCAGGCCCTTGTTAAGCAAAAGTGTTGCCTAAGAGGAGGGGTGAAGACACAGTGAGGCTAACGGTCAGTGAGGCTAACAGTCAAGTGAACTCTAAAGGGAAGGAAGAGGCCCCGGAGAACCTGAGAAATCTTGTGCCACCCAAGCCCGCTCACCTCAGTGAAGTTGATCTTCTCACCAGAGAACATGTGCTCCCGGGCAGCCTCCACACCCCTGGACTTGGCCTGCAAAATGAAGACACTAAGGTCTAGTCCCACCCATGTTCACCAACAAGCTCCCAAGCATAAGACCTGGTGCAGCCCCAGGTGGGGCCAGCAGATGCCCACAGCCTGGTACCACCCCCTCCCTGCCACCACTGCCTAGGAAGGGTCTGTTCAGAACCTGAGCCCAGGCCAGGAGCTAGGAGCCCTGCACTGACACACGGGCAGTTTCTGAGGTCCACTGAGAAGGAAGTACAGATGCTCAAGGACGTGGGGCTCCCAGGAACCCAGCTTGCCCACCCTTCCATGGGACACAGGCCAAGCCTCCCACAGCAGAACATTACCAGGTCCACCAGCATCTGCATCACACCTTCCGTCACAAGGTTCTTGGAGTAATCCACCAGAATACGTCCACGGTTGGTACTGAGTGTCAAGCTACAGAAAGATGGCATAAGCCATTCATCACCACCCCAGGTTTCCCCAACTCCGGCCTGCTCCCAGACCTGAACTACTTAGGAAAAAAAATCCTTCTTGTGCCACACCCCAAACAGGCCTCAGCTGCCCAGCACAGAGGTGGTGTCTGTCACCAGCCTGCCCACCAGGTTGAATGGCAGCAGCGGCAGACTGAAAAGGGCCACCCCTTGAATGAAGATGCATGCTGTCTCTGGGTGAGGAGCCATTCCTCCCCTTAACTGGGCTGGGGGATGGGAAGACAGACAGCTAGGTGCACTCCCCCTCCCCAGCGAGGCTTCCACTGTGCAGCTCAGCATGCTCATCGAAGAGCCCAGATGACAAGGCTGGCCATCAGGGACTTCCACCCTACAGCCCCAGACCACATCTGCCCAACACACCTGCAAAAGAGCACGCTGGGTCCCATTCCGGCCACCCCCCAAGATGTCCTCTAATAGGCGCATTTCCATTTCCTGGTCCTTCACAAGTCTCTGGACCTAGCCTCTACTGCAAGAATCACGTCCTCACATCTCCACCATTCCACCAGGCTCCCTGCAATCCCCCGGGCCTGCCCCACCCCGACCGCACCCCGAAGATGGTCCCAAGCTCTCAGCCAGGAGCGAGAAGGGATGGCCCTTCCCCGCCTGCCGCGTCAGCAAAGGCCCTCCGCACAACAGCCAAAGGAGTCCCTTCTCGCGGGGGCTGCACGGTGGCGACAGAAGGAGGGTGAGGGGAATTTTCCATGGACATTTCCAAGGGGCCCACTTCTCAGGACCAAACAGCCCCGGTACCACCGGCGAGCCCCGGAACCTGCTTCCAAGGAGGCGTCAAGGTCGAAGTGTGGCCTGAGTCCTGATCCGTGGCCTGCGGCCCCCATGGACCGCCGGTCCAGCCCCCGGCCCGGGCCCTCACCCTGGACACCTTGAGCGGGTGTACTGCGGGGCGGATCCGCGCGCACGGATCACGGCCTGCACGCCCCGCCGGCCTGTGGCCCGCGCGCACCTGAAATGATTGAAGCGTTCCTTGTCCCCTTCGAAAAGGCGGCGCAAGTTGAGGTCAGAGCCATGCTCACGGTACCATTCCTGCAGCTTCTGGAACTGCGGATTCTTGGTAAGCGCGGCCATGGAGAGAGGAGCTAGGAGCACTGGCTGGGACGTGGTCTGATGCACGAGAAGAGCGGGCGGCAAGCAGCTAGCGGGGTCTGGGAGCAGCGGTCTTTATGGCGCAGGCGCCTGGACCCGCCCCGCCCCGCCCACCAGGCCACGCCCTCAGCGCCCTACGGAAGACTTTGGCAGCAGCGTGGTTCTGGGGCCTGGGGCTGGTCTCTCCCTACAGCAGGGTGGTTGATTACTTGTGCTGCCCTGCAGTGATCCCTGCCTGGGTGTGACTGAGAGACAGAGGCCCAGCTCTCCGCGCCCAGGCTTCATTCGTTCATTCATTTAACACAACTCTGAACAATTCCCATGTTACAGGTGGTATTCCAGATGCTGTAGAAACATAAGTGACATTTTTAAAAAGATTTTATTTATTTATCTTTAGAGGGAAGGGAAAGGAGATAAGGAGAGAACTATCAATGTATGGTTGCCTGTCTTGAGTCCCTTGCTGGGGACTGGCCTGCAACCCAGGCATGTACCCTGACTGGGAATCGAGCCGCCATCGTGTGGTTTGCAGGCCCGCGCTCAATCCACTGAGCTACACCAGCCAGGGCCATAAGTGACATTTAAATAAGTAAAATATATGGTATGTCAGATGCTGGTAAGTGTCATGGAAAAAAGGAAAGCTTTTGAAAGAGTGCTGGAAATGGGGGTTGACATTTTTAATGGAATGGTCAAGGGAAAATCACTAATGAGATGATATTTAAGCAAAAGCCTGAAGACGGTGAGAAAGTGAACCAATGGGATATTTGGGGGAAAGTGCCCAGGCAAAGGGAAGAACGACTGCAGAATTCCCATAAGCAGCATGCTTAGATATTTCACAAGCAGAAGGAGGCAAGCTGACTAGAGTGGAGAGAAGGAGAGAAGGAAGGCAACATGATTGCACACACCTTGAAAGTCATTATGAGAACTTGAGTTTTTATTCTGAGAGAGATGGGAAAGCATTGGAGTGTTTACAGCAGAGAAGGGTCATCATCCCACATGTTTTACAAAGGATCAGACCTACAACTCAGCAGGAGAGGAAGGAAGGACAACAGATCAAAAACCACTGCAATAATGCTGGCCAGGAACATAGATGGCTTGGGGCAAGACAGTAGGGGTCAGGCATGGTGATCTGGACATATTGTGAGTGAAGAACTACCCATTTCCTGGTAAGAGAGAGCAATTGATCAAGGGAGACAACCAGTTTTCTAACTGAATTCCTGGAAAAATGGAATTTCCATTACAGCTTGCAGAGATGCAGGTTTGGGGGGAAAGATCATAACCTTAGTTTCGGACATGTTGAATTTTCAAAACCTATCTGACATCTATGTGGAGGTGCTGAGTGTTTATGTTTGGGGTGCAGGGGAGAAAAGGTTCCAGCTTGAGGAAGAACTTGGGAGTCATCAGTGAATAGAGAACATTTGAATTACGCCCTGCAGGTGAGAGTTTGAGAGGGAGTAAATATAATCAGAGAGGAAAAGGGGTCCCAAAACTGGGCACTCAAGTTGAGCTTCTTCACTGCTGGTTCCCCCAGAAAAGCCAGCAGTCGAGGAGTGTGCCCTGTTCTGCTGCAGTCCCAAGTGTAGATCTTCTTCCCGCCCACCTCCTAGCTCCCTGTGGTTGGTGCCACCTTTGGCCTCTGCAAATGTCTTTTCTTACCTTGCCCAGAATGATCTGGGGTCCTAAACATGAAGAAGAAAAATAGAGAGGTGTTAAAAACTGAAGAAATGAGTGGTCACAGGACTTTGCAGGGAACAGCCTTGTCCACATGACCCTTATTTACTGAGAGGAGTTTTGGATCAGCTATTGACTCTCAGATGTAACTGAGCTTCCCATATCCAGCACAACTGTGACAGCACTCAGTAGCATCTGTTCTGCTAGAGTGCATGAGAAACATCCAACCAGAGTTTCCTACCCAAGCCAGCTTTACTTGTCTGCACAGAGCAGCACTCCCAGCCCTAAATCTGTTTCAGAACAGAACTTCATCCAATAGGACAGCCAGTCTCAGTAGCCACTGCAGATCATCTACTTGCCTTATGACTCCTTGAATGACTTCTAGCCCAACACACCGACTCCTTTTCCTAGTAGGCTGTTTTTGGTGACTGTGATGCACATCACTTGTCTTTGTCCAAAATCATTACCTCCACCCTTGTGTTTCTTCCCCTGACTCCTTGATTGCATCAGAGATGAACACATGACCTAAGTCAGCCAAACAAGGTCTTTTTCTATGACCCTGGTGACAGCCCCAGAAACTCCCAGCTTCTTTTAATTTGTATTTTTTAAAGATTTTATTTATTTTTATTTTTTAAGGACTTTATTTTTAGAGGGGGGGAGGCAGGAGAAAGGGAGGGAAATATTAATGTGCAAGGGATACATCAATTGGTTGCCTCTTGCTTGCCCCTACTGAGGATCTGGCCTATGACCCAAGCATGTGCTCTCACTGGGAATCCCACTGGTGACCCCTAGGCTCAATCCACTGAGCCACATCAGCCAGGGCAAAACTCCCAGCTTTTTTTTTTTTTTAATCCTCACTTGAGGATGTTTATTGATTTTATTTTTTAAAGATTTTATTTATTTATTTTTGGAGAAAGAGAAGTGAGGGGGAAAGAGAGGTGAGAAACATCAATGTGTGAGAGAATTATCAATCGGTTGGTTCCCTCTTGCATGCCCCCAACCAGGACCTGGCTTGAAACCCAGGCATGTGCCCTGACTGGGAATTGAACCAATGTCCTTTCGTTTTGTGGGATAACGCCCAACCCACTGAGCCACACCAGTTAGAGCTGTTTATTGATTTTAGAGAGAAAAAGAGACAGAGAGAAACATTGATTTCAGACAGAAACATCAATTGGTTGGTTGCCTCTTGTATGTGCCCCGATTGGGGATCCGACCAGGGATCAAATGTACCACTCAGGTATGTGCCTTGACTGGGAATCAAACTTATGACCTATGGATGTGCAGGATGACGCTCCAAGCAACTGAACAACCTAGCCACGGCATAACTCCCAGATGTATGTAGTTCAAGTTGCCTTTTTCCTGAGGTTCAATCCCTGGTGTTAAGGAAAACAATGGAGGACTTCCGCCAAGATGGAGGTGTAGGTGGAAATACCTTGCGTCCGTGCACAACCAAATCTAAAAACAAAAGAGTTTTAACAATAATAAACGCAATCAAACCACACAGAAAATCGACAATATGGAGTCCGAAAACAACGAAATGCTCAGCTAAACTGGTAAGAGGGGCGAAGCCAGCAGTTCTTGGTTTGGCCAAAAAGATCCCTGACCGGGTGGTGCGCTAGCAGCCTAAGGCGTGGATACCAGGTGCGGGCTAGCTACAGGTGGACACAGGGAAGAGGCGCGGCTGGCTGTCTGCGGTTGGTAGAGCATTTGCGTGCAGATAAACCAGTGAAGAGGCGAGCATTGAGACCGCATGTTGCAGGGTGGCGGGCTCGCATATTTCTGCTCAGATAAACAGGCGGGGGCGAGCGGTGGGACGGACTGGGCGAGCAGAGAGGACTGCCATTGCTCCCTCTCTGACCCCACCCCCACATATAGCATCACAAACCAGAGACCTGGGTGGCCCCGCCCTGGTAAACAACTAAGGCTCTGCTCCTCATTCTTAACGGGCTCGAACAGACCAAAAATGGCTCAAGAACAACTCAGAACCCAGAGCCAACAAATCTAAGTGATGAAGAAATAGCCAAACTTTCAGATGCACAGTTCAAAACACTGGTGATCAGGATCCTCACAGAACTGGCTGATTTTAGTCACAAATTAGAGAAACATATGAAGGCTAAACTAATTGAAATGAATGGTAATGCACAGGAAACCAATAGTAATGGAAAGGAGACTGGGACTCAAATCAAGGGAATAGACCAGAAGGAAGGAAAAAATGACCAAACAGAAAAGAATGAAGAAACAAGAATTCAAAAAAATGAGGAGAAGCTTAGGAACCTCCAGGACATCTTTAAACGTTCCAACATTCGAATTATAGGGGTACCAGAAGGGGAAGAGGAACAGTCACGAGTGGAAACCTTATTTGAACAAATAATAAAAGAGAACTTCCCCATTCTGGCAAAGGAAATAGACTTTCAGGAAATCCAGGAAGCTCAGAGAGTCCCAAAGAAGTTGGACCCAAAAAGGAACACACCAAGGCACATCATCATTGCATTAGCCAAGATTAAAATTAAGTAGAGAATCCTAGAAGCAGCAAGAGATAAGGGGACTGTCACCTACAAAGGAGTTCCCATCAGACTGTCAGCGGATTTCTCAAAAGAGACCTTACAGGCAAGAAGGGGCTGGAAAGAGGTATTTCAAGTCATGAAAACCAAAGACCTACATCCAAGATTGCTCTATCCAGCAAAGTTTTCATTTAGAATGGAAGGACAGATAAAGTGCTTCTCAGATAAGACCAAATTCAAGGAGTTCATCATCACCAAGCCCTTATTATATGAACTGTTAAAGGGACTTACCTAAGAAAAAGAAGATAAAAAAGATGAACAGTGAAAGGACAGGAAACTCACAGTTATCAACAACCACACCTAAAACAAAAGCAAACTAAGAGGACAGCTAGATGAGGAGTGAACCATAGAAATGAAGATCTCATGGAGAATTAGCAACAGGGGAGTGGGAGAAGGTGAAGGGGGGAGAAGGTACAGAAAATAAATAGCATAGACAGTAGATAGAAAATAGATAGGGGGAGGGTAAGAATAGTAGGGGAAATACAGAATCTAAAGAACTTGAGACACATGTTCATGAACTAAAGGGGGGGAATGGTGGGGGAGGGGTGTGCAGGGGCGAGGGGAACAGGGGGAATAGAACAAATGTAATGGCATAATCAATTTAAAAAATGTTAAAAAAAAGAAAACAATGGAGAGAATGACCCCCTAAGAGATGCCAGAGTGAACCTCACAGGGCCCAAGTTTCTGGGCTGAGCCACCTCTGTCTGCAGCTGGTACATGAATCAGTGATTTCTCTCAGTGGTGCCGTGTTTTGAGCTGACATGGTTACTATTCCTGCCAGTTTACTCTGTGCAAGAGCTCTGTGCTAAATTTTTTCCTATGCAACCTTCAAAGCAGCCCTTTT